CTAGTTGTAGCCTTTGGCTACCAGCCTTGCTTTATATCTCTCCACCTCTCCTGTGGACTTGTACTTGACCTTGAACACCCACTTGCAGCCTATAGGAACTTTGTCTGGAGGAAGGTCTACAATTGTCCAAGTATTATTGCTCTCAAGAGCTGAAATCTCAGACTTCATAGCAACCACCCACAGTGGATTAATACTGGCTTCAGCATAGGTCTTGGGTTCTACAATTGCTGAATAAGCAGCTAATGAAGACCTATAGGCTGGAGTGAGGTGGTCATACACCACATAGTTGGACAGTGGATATGGACATGAGGACTTCTGTTGGACAACATAATCTCCCGTCCATACAGGTGGTCTTGATTCCCTTGAGGATCTTCTAAGTTGTACTAGCTGAGGAGAGGGATCCCTGACAGAAGATGATGGGGAAAGCTGGGAAGCATGAGGGTTAGAAGTGGAGGTTGTATGTGAATGCAATGGAGCAAACACAACAGGAGGATCAGGTTCAACTAGTTGCACCACAGGGAACATAGGAGAAAGGCCAGTGTTCATGTGCTTAAAGGGAAAAATGTCTTCTTGAAAGACAATGTCTCTGCTTACAAAGAACTCCTTGGAGGTTAGGCCATAGAGATAATATCCCTTCTGAGTTGTGGAATATCTAAGATGAACTGCTGGAATTGCTCTTGGACTAAACTTATCACCCCTTTTGACAGTGGTAGCATAGCACAGGCTTCCAAATACTCTGAGATGTTGTAGTGAAGGAGCTCTGTGGAACAATTTCTGGAAAGGTAACTGACCTTTCAATAACACAGTAGGCAATCTGTTGAGTAAGTATATAGTTATGGATACACACTCAACCTAAAACCTTAAGGGTACAAATGCCTGAAACCTTAAAGCTCTTGCCATGTCTAGGATATATCTATGTCTCCTTTCTACAACAACATTTTGTTGTGGTGTATACACACAAGAACTTTGGTGTACAATCCCACACTCCTTAAGCAAATTGTTCACCTGATCATTGAAGAATTCTGAAACATTATCTGTTCTAAGACATTTCACTTCACCGCCAAATTGAGTTCTGACATATATTAGGAAGTTCCTTAGTGCTACAATAGAATCTGCTTTAGCAGGCATTAGGAAGAGCCATGTATATCCTAAAGAAATCATCAACTAGAGTCAAAAAGTATCTCTTACCATCATGAGTGGGAACCTTATAAGGACCCCATACATCAGCATGCACAAGATCAAAACACTTAGCAGAACAAGTAGTACTTAGAAGAAAGGGTAGTCTTGCCTGTTTAGTAATACGACATACAGAGCATATATGATTATTCGGCTGAGAGTTACACAAGCTTTCTATATTTCTCAACACTCTTAAAGTAGCATTCCCTAGTCTTCTATGCCAAAGAGACAAATCAACAGTCTTAGTTTTATTCTTGGAACTATCTTCACTTATTGAACTGGAAATGGTATTTACAGAAAACTGATTGATGACATCCTTATTCTCAGAGACTTGCTGTGAATTTGAGTTTCCTCTATTCCTCAGAATGTAAAGGCCATCCTCTTCTCTACCAATCCCTATCACCTTCCCACTTGAGAGTTCCTGAAATACACAGAAATCAGGAAAGCATGATGCACAACATTGTAACTCCTTGGTGATCTTTGATACTGATAATAGGTTGTATTTGAATTCAGGTATATATAATACTTCTCCAATTGTCTTGTCCTGAAATATGTGAGATTCTCCTGTCTTAGTGATAGTAACTTGCTCTCCAGTAGGTAGGTGTTATTCTTACTCATTTGTGACAATTCTTTGAATTTGTGAAGCAAACCTAACTGATGTACCATATGATTTGTAGCCCTGTGTCTACTATCCAGTTATGGTCTCCTAGACTAGACATTAGGGCAGTAGGAATACCGGATGTTCCCATTTGAGCTGCATTAGCCACAGGTTCTCCCTCTTTTCCTTTGTTTAGCATTTGCAGAATTTGATTGTATTGCTCTGAAGTGAAGAACTAAACTGGAGATGGTGGTGCTGTATTAGAGATAGGTGCTGTTTGCTGGGATGATCCTTGAGCTTTAGATCCCTGATTTCCTGCACCACACACATTGTTAGCATAAGTATTTGGAGTGCCTCCTTTCTTCCTGTATTTGAAATCAGCTGGATATCCATGCAGCTTGTAGCAGTTGTCCCTTGTGTGACATTTAAGCTTGCAGTAGTCATACTGAAGTGCAGACCTTCCATAGCTGTAATTGGTCCCAGCTTTGTAATTGATGTTACCACCACCAGAGTTGTTACCATTGTTGTTTCCTCTGCTGCTTAGTAGTGCAGTAACATCATTGCCATCAACACCAATGCTAGCATTAATCCCACAACTGTCATTTCTCCTTTGACTTTCTATATTCACTATCATAGCATATACTTGGTTTATGTTTGGTAAAGGCCTTGTCATAAGAATTTGATCCTTTGCGTTCTCATAGGAATCATTTAGACTTGTTAAAAACTTATATAGCTTTTGCAACTGATAATGTTCTGCATGTTTGACAGACTCTGGACATCCACATGAAGGAGGAGGAGCTAGTGTCTCATACTCATCCCATAGTTCCCTAAGCTTCAAGAAGTACACAGACACAGAGGATATGCCCTGAGTTAGTGCAGCCATTTCCTTGTGCAGATAACAGGCTCTAGAGGCATTTACTTTATCAAACCTCTCTTTAAGGTCTTCCCACACCTTATGAGCATCAGATGCATAAATTACAGTACTAAGTAGATTTGGAGATACTGTGTTCATTATCCAAGCTAGAACAATGTCATTACATCTATCCCAGAGTTCATGCAAGCTAGGATCATACATTTCTCTTCTACAAGTTCCTAAAACAAAACCTAGTTTATTTTTACCATGCAACACAATCTTCATTGACCAACTCCAAATTGAGTAATTTTCAGAGCCTTAAAGTTGAATTGAGATAAGAATAGAACCTTGTGTATCTGAAGGATGAATGTACAGAGGGAGCTTGTAATGTAGCAGATCTGGAGCATTTAATGTTTGAGCCTGAGTTGCAGTCGCCATTGGAGGAGTTGAAGCCGAGATCCCGTCATCAATTGCCATTGTAGACAGTATAGATTATATCGCACCACACTAATTGAGATGATTTAGGTCACAAATCACTAGATTTCAGCAGAAATTGAGGCTAATCGAACAAGCCCTAATTTTAGGGAATTTGCTAAAAAAATGATAAAGGAACAGAGTAAAGGAAGCAATTAACCAGTGATATTCCTCTCCTGAAGCTGCTGAGTTAATTGATCTAGCCTTAAAGCTCTGATGCCATATTGAACTAGTCAGCCATGGCAGAAGGAAGTCGATGAAGAAGAAGGAGAAGCTCCATTCTCTGTATTTGAAATGAACTGTTCTAACTAATTCTCAAAAAGCTACTATACAAGTGTAACTAACTTCTATTTATACAACTAACTAATTAACCTACCTTTTTATCAACTAACTTCACCTAATTATAATATATTAAATTAACTACTAGACCCCATATCTATTCCTTCTACGATTCTCTTCTTCTTTTTTGCTACGTGATGATTCCAAGAATAAAGTATCAAAATTTGACACACCTAATAGTCTTTTTGCACAAAATAGAGAAGCAAGTTATTTACGTGATTTCAAAGCTGGCAACACTTGTGGATGGAGTAATTTATTCTATGATCTGCTTCTGATTTAACTTCTCAAATTTTAATTTGATTTTCAACTTTGTACTGATTATACTGAGTAATTAATAAAGGGATTGTTCCAATATTAGGATTACAGCTACTCCCTAATCTATATCTTTTTTCAAATTAAGAAGTATTCGCACTACTAGAAATGCGCCAAAAACCGACCAAAAAAATCGACCAAAGTTGGTCGATTATGGTCAATTACCGACCAAAACGCGACCATTTACGTGTGGACGGTATTTTGACGGTCGATTAAGAATACCGACCAAAGTTGGTCGGAAATTACCGACCAATGTTGGTCGGCCAATTAAATTCAAAAAAAGATATTGCAAAAAAAAAACCGACCAAAGTTGGTCGGTATTTTAATTATGTAATCAAAAGATTCACCATCTGGGAATCAAATCGGGCTGTGTACTGTGGCAGGATACTATTCTACCACTAGACCATTGGTGCATTTTATTTTAAGATTGTCTTTTTATTTATTTATACTCTTTAATTGTATTTTCGCACGAAAATAACCGACCAAAATTGGTCGGTTTTGTTAAAACATAAAATTACCGACCAAAGTTGGTCGGTTTTTAAAATGACTGGCCTAAGAATTACCAACCAAAGTTGGTCGGTTTTTTTAATATTAATTTTTATTTATTTTAATTGAAAAATCGACCAAAGCTGGTCGGTTTCTTGAAAAATAAATTTCGCGGGACTCAAAAATAGTTTCCGCATTTTTGCGCCAAAGAAAACCGACCAAAGTTGGTTGGTTTCGTAAAAAAAATTAAAAATTAAAATATTTTAAAAAACCGACCAAAGTTCTTCTTGATCGGTTTTTGCCGAATTTCTAGTAGTGTCGAAATAATTGTAGAGTTGGAATTAAATGGTTATAGTTTTACTCCAGATATTGTTTAGGCTACTAAAATCAAATCAGCTACACTACATTTGGAAAGCATTTGAGTTCAATTTGAATTAGAAGGAAGGTAACAAGAGATTATGAAATGCTGAAATGGAAGAGTACTATACGCTGGAAAAAGGATGTCAATCAAGGTTCGGGTCAAAGGACGTATGCGCATTGAAAAGAAAAAATGTCGGAGAATCTCAAAATGTTCGGTGAATTATTAACATGGCTAACTTGATTTACCTAACAATATATGAAGGTGAACCGTTTTCTACCTTCATCTCTTGTGGTCGTGGGCCTATCAATCTCAAGTCTCAAAAGTACAATTTTTTTTTCTTCTTTTTACAAGTAATTAATTTGATGATCAACTAGTTTCAAACATGAAATAAAGCAGCCATATTAAAATTGCTTTGGGCTATCACAGCAAAGAAAGACGCTCTCTGGATACAATGGATCCACAGTTTCTATATTAAGGGTAGAAGCAGTACTATGGAGACACCTAGGCAAGCATGTTGGCTTGTTAGGAAAATCTTTGATGTAAGGAAATGGTATGGGAGAAATGATGTGTGTGAAGAATTACAACAACTCACTCATGCTGGGAAGTTCATGATCAAGAAGGCATACCAATACTTACTCCCTCAATATCCTAGAGCTATATGGAGAAACCTCAATATGATTCCATGTTCTGTACCAAAGTATCAATTTATACTTTGGCTTGCACTTCAAAGGAGATTTAGTACAGCAGATAGAATGGCTAAATGGGGAATACAAGTCCCTATGAACTGTGTACTATGCAGAGCTGATATTGAAGAAACTCACGCTCACTTGTTCTTTGAATGTGAATATTCCAGACAGATGTGGAGCTCCTTCTTACGATGGATAGGAGAAAACAGGCAAGTAGGGACCTGGGAAGAAGAGATTAAGAGATTAACGACCAAACAATGTAACAGCAGAGCACATGCAGAGGTGCTAGGATGGCTAGTTGCTACTGTTTACCACGTTTGGAATGAAAGCAATGCTAGAAAATTTCAAGAACAGCAGCAGGAATGTGTATCAAGACTAAGAGAGATTACCATTCAATTACATAGGACAACTTAGAAGCAATTGAAAAAAATTACTTGATAGATTAAACTCATACCCAAGTCTAGTATAGACTAGCAGTGTATTAGGTATATAGAGGGGAGGAGTAATTATAATTAGCGTAATTTAGGACTAGTTCTAGAGTAAAAAAGAACTAGTGGATGTATATATTATACTTGGTTGAATAAAATTTTATTGTTTGGCAAAAAAAAATGATCAACTAGTTTCATTTTGAAGTTGACCTATTTGTTTGACAAATGCATCCAAATCTTGACTAGAGCTCCCTCCCTTTTGAAGAGCCTCTAAGACAGAATCATGGAGTTTACTCATTCGCTCTTTCTGTGGGGGAGCTCCACTAATTGACTCGGATAAGATATGAACCAATTTGACTGAATCTGGGACTACCTGACAACCATCTTCGCAGGCTCTAATTCCCACTTTGAGTTCGTTAACCAACAATTCTGCACTTATAAATTGGTCTGCACCCATAGGCCATGTTAGCATGAGCACCTCAGAGGATATGCCTTCTAGTATGGAGTTCCATCCGCAATGAGTCAAGAAAACGCTCACAGCTCGATGACTTAGTATCGCAACTTGTGGAGCCCAACCTTTGATTATCAACCCTCTATTTGCTATTCGATTCTCATATTCCTTCGTGACTACTCCCTCGTTGCCTGCCACCTGTCCTTCCTCTTGAATTTCAAGCACCACACGAAATTCACCCCACTACACTCCAAGGCCGTCGCCAGGGCATCAACATTGCACGACTCCCGAAACTCACGTAAACAACTGAATCATCGGCCTTGTCATCTAACCACGTCATCACTTCATCACGTGGCATCACACTCGACCCGCCTCGTTGAAAATAATATGGGCCTACCAAATTATTGTCCAAAGGTAGCAAGGGCCCAACGGCCCAAACCCTATCATGGCCCATTTCTTTCTTTACTCGATCAATAAAAACGCCCTCCACTTCTCTACAAGAGTTAAACACAACCCCCCAACTCTTCATATTTTCAAAAAGAATTCCCAATCGGGGTCTCCTTTCTTGTATTGACTGCTCAAAGTACACACCTTCCATCGAGGATATTCCGGCGTATTGGGTATATTATGGAAAGTAATCAAAGAGTTTTCATTAGTTGTAGACAAGATTTCTTCAACGTTGCTCCATGTATGACTTATAACTAAGCAAGTAAAAGCTCCGGACGGCCAAAAGGCAATACGTCGAACACCTAGTCGGCATGCCAGTTCATGAGTCCAACCAAGGAAGAAATCTGAGATAATGGCCACAGGTGACGGGTGGGTACGGAACCAATCGACAATCGGATTGTAAAGCTCAGAGGTTGAACGAACCCTTGCAGCAAAACTGGATCCAGCTGGGAGTTGGGGAAATGAAAGGCAAAGTGTTTGAATAGAATCGGAAGGGTGAATTGCTCGGATTGGCTCGAGTAATGGTAGGTTTTGAGGTGTGACAAGAATTGTGAGTTTTAGGTTATGATTTATGAGGTGGTTGGCTAGGTCAAGGAGGGGGATTATGTGACCTGCAGTTGGAAATGGAAATAGGAGAACTTGTGCACCGGAAAACGCCATTAAATTTTAGCTCAAACCAAGACTTTAATTTTCCTCAAGTATTGCAAGTTTGTACACTTATTTGGTTTATACTGTGATATGATATGTTGTGACTTCTGATGTCATGCCTGACGCTTACAAAAGTATTATATTTCAAAGTTTGGGTGGTTTGTCTTCTTTTTTTCCGATCAAATGAAAATAGTTTTGGTACACGGACTAAATTATTTCGGAGGAATTAATTTATTTCACTTGAGATAATATAATCTCAAATTTGATGGAATAAAGTGGAATATTATGTAGTAAGATTGATATTAAATTTATACCGTCAATCAAATATAATATAAATTTAATCTCATACCTTATCCATATTCTAAATGTGTCATATATGTTTAACACGGCATGGACTTCTCACACGTTAGTAGTTTCATCATATTTAATCTTCTAACCACTACTATTGCATGTGGCTTCCTTTCACACGACGTTCGTCGTTTATTCGTCCTACTATTCCATTTACTATTTCCTTTTGAGCACCTGCGCAAACCTATTCACTGACGTTTTATAATCAATAAGTTCTGGTGGATAAGGCTCCATATTGTTGTTTTATGATTAAGGACTATAGTTGAACGCGTTATAATTTAATTAATGCATGTGTCTTGATGATCTGTTTTTAGAGGAAAATTTCGATACTTGCGAGTTGTTAATTAATCAATTGAAGTGTTTCAATACAGTGAACAGTATTTTAAAAGATATTTTCTGGGCGAGCCCTGAAGCAAGGCGTATCAAAAACTCACCGAGGCATATGTATCATGACGCATAAGCCTCGGCATTCCGGGCGTCCGTTTAGGGGCGTAAGCCCCGATAACTTTTCCGAAATTGAGCTAAAATTGCTTAATATTTTTTTTTAAAACTCAAATATATAAAAGTTAACTAGTAGTAAATTCTCAAACTAAAAAACTCAAAAGTCAGAGATCATTTTAATTGTTTATACTAATTTCATAATCTATTCTCTTTGTCGTTTGATGAGTAACAAATATGGACCTTTGTCTGCGAAGTGCAAACTACGAACAAAGAATTTTGTCCTCCAATTTTTACTCAGCTTTGATGCTTGCATTTTCCTTTTTTGTGCTTTATCTTTTCAGTTCCTTTTTTTTGTTTTGCATTCCTTAATTTATTCTTTTCAAGTTAGTTTTTGATTTTAGAATTTCTTTGCGCTAGTTTAGATATTATTTTGAAATGCATGTCTCTATTCTGGCTATTTGTATAACTAGTCTTGGGATACGCGCGTTGCGCGCGAACACTATCTCGATGAGTATGAACTATTAAAAATTATACTAAAAATTAAGTTTGAATGATAAACAAAAGTCATAGAAAAAATATGAGTTCTTGAAAATAGTATTTGTTGTATGTCGCTAACACAATAAAGAAAGAAACTATACCCCATATAAGTGTCACGACCGAAAATCCCACCATCGGGACCGTGATGACGCCTAACATACTACTTGATAGGCAAGCCAACGTTAGAATAATTTATCCATTTTTAACAGCTCAGATTAAATAATATAAAGAAACCGAAATAAATTCTAAAGTAAAGTGCGGAAAACCATGACATCTGAAATATCTAATACAACCCGAATCTGGTATCACAAGTGCACGAGCTACTAGAATACTACAAATAGATTCTGAAATAAATACAACTGTTTCGAATGAAATGAACGGTAAGAGAGGAAAGAGGAAGGGGACTTCAAGGTCTGCGAACGTCAGCAGATCTACCTCAAATCTCCGAATGTGAAAATCCGAGCTAGTGCACCTCACGTACAACTGGGACCAGTACTGAGATATGTACAAGAAGTGTAGAGTGTAGTATGAGTACAATTGACCCAATATACTCCGTAAGTGTCGAGTCTAACCTCGACGAGGTAGTGACAAGGTTATGACAGGACACTCACGTAATTAAACCTGTATAAACCTAGCCATTTGTACCAAATAACAACAAATAGAGATTTATTATGTACGGTTGGGAGGGGACATGCAAAAGGGGGACAAGATACGATAACTACAACAGGAATGACAACACAAGGCAGTCAACTAAATCATCAACCAATAAAGACGGATAAACATACGGAATAAAGATGGCACGGCATCACCCTTCGTGCTTTTACTCTCAATCTTATCATGTAATGATGACATAAGTAGAATGAAATGGCACGGCATCACCCTTCGTGCTTTTACTCTCGATTTGCCCATGTAATAATGAATAATTGATATAGATGGCACGACATCACCCTTCGTGCTTTATCTCTCTTCCTCACTATGTATTAGTCAATAAATAATGTAATAAAATGGCACGGCATCACCCTTAGTGCTTTAACACTCTACCTTACCATGTAAATAAATATAAAAAATTCGGGAGATAAATAATGCAAAGGGTGTACTTTACATCAATAATGATTCCAAGATACCAAACATCAACTCCCAAAATACTCAACCATCACAATTAATCCATAAATCGAAAGGAACGATCAAATAAGTAATAATCTAATCTAAGCATGGATGTCATAAATAAAGAGGAAATAAATCCCCAATTTTCATCATGAAAATCTCTAATTATACCGAAATCTCCAATTTTCACCATGAAAATCCTAGGTTTAATGATGAAAACTTATGAAATGTAATGGATAAATGAAAGGAAGTAGATTAAGGTCACTTACCAATGAATTGAGGAAGAAAAGTTCTTGGAAAAATCGCCTCTAAGGTGTTTAGGGTTGAGAATTTGAAAGAATGAGCTAAAATCTCGTTTTTCCCTTTTTATGTCCAGGCGCAGATGTCGCAATTGCGAACCCCGCAAACACGAAAAATCCTTTGCAAATGTGAAGATTTCACACTTCTGTTGCCATCGCAATTGTGATGGTTCGTTCGCAAATACGAACTTGGACTTCTCGCAATTCCAACTATATTACATGATTATATATGAGATTTAACATCAAATTTATGAGAATCAAAGGGGAATTTTGGGAAAATTTGTCTAAGTTTTGAAAAATATATATTTGGAATTTGAGAGTCGAATTGGACTCAGATTTTAAAATAAAACACATATATAGACTCGTGGGGTTATGGGTAGTCGAAATCTACCCTTGGACCCGGGTTTTGACCGGGCGGACCCGAGGTTAAATTTTGTTGACTTTTGGAAAATTTTGTAAAAATCGTAGCTTTATCTATCGTAATTAATTTCTCTTGCATTGCTTGATGTTATTAAGTCGATTTTGGTTAGATTTGAGCCGAGCGGACGCGAATGTTTAGGAAAAGCTATTGTTGAGTGTTAATTTGGCCTAGTGGAGGTAAGTATCTTGTCTAACTTTGTGGGGGGGGGGGGGGGGGAACTACCCCGTAGGGATTGGTTTGATTGCACCATTTGAATTACGTGAAAGACGTGTATATGAGCTGACGAGTGTGTACACGACCTTATATGTGAAAATGATCGGTTTAGACTCTTAGGTTTCTTATGTATATTAAATTGAAGTTGTTCTATCATGTTATATCCTCCATTGTTAAATCTACCCTTACATGGTTTATTTGAATTGGTTAGTTCATATTCTATATCTTATTGCCAATTATACTCTTATATGTTTTAACTCAAGTTGTTGCCTCTTTTTTTGCCATGTTATCTCTTTCATAGTTGAGTTATCCTTATTTGAAGTCGTTGCTACCTGTTACCTATCTCATTGTCGATTTATTCTTATTTGAAGTCATTATTATTTGTTATGTCTTTCATTGTTGAGCTTATCCTTCTGTTTCATTGTGTTGTTGTAATTCTTGTGTTGATTTACTTGTCGTACTCCCGTGTTATTGTTGTTGTACTCAGTGTTGTTGGGTCGTGGGCTATGTGTGGTTGTGGCATATGGGCACATGTGGTGCGAGTTGTTATATTGTGTTGTTATATTTTTGGCACACGTGGGATTGTTGAGAGGATTGTCGGGGTATTTGCATGAGAGTTGTGCGTGCTATTGTTATTATTGATATTTGCACACGCGACGTGATAAGGCGGGCTCTATATATGTTGGATTTGCGTATGTGGCGAGACAAGGTGGGATGATTATTATGCGCATGTGGCGAGACAAGACGGGCATTTACTTTATTATTGTGCATGTAGCGAGACAAGGTAGGCTATGTCACAGATGATTTGTGATGGCCTAGGGGCATTGTTATTAATGATATTTGTGGTGGTATGACATCTTTGCGTGTGTCATGATATTACGAATTTTGTGGTGTTGTTTCCAATGTGCCACTCGGTGTCTCTGATTTTACCTGTTGATTTGAACTGTGATAGTACACTTGCACAAGCATACACCGTAACATGTCACCTATATCAGTTCAGGAGTATGAATCTTGATGTTTATTGATCATGTACATGTGTTCTTATACCTGCCTTCTGTGCATGGATTGGACTGTGGCATGTGAGTTGTCTGTGCGGATATGAGATATTGTTACTATTGGCACGTGAGTTGTCCGTGCGGATATGAGATATTGTTATCATTGGCACGTGAGTTGTCCGTGCAGATTTGAGGTGATAATGGTATTGGCACGTGAGTTGTCCGTGCGATTATGATTGATAATGTGGGCACGAGATGCCATGCGATTATAATTCGTGACTTGGGGCCCGTGACTCGTGATTTTGAGGTGTAGTACCTGGAGGTGATTCTTGTGTAGACCTTGTGAAAGAACGATTGATTATTTGGTTGTCATTTGCTTTTCCTTAGTTGGGTTCGCAGGTACCCTAACTGCATTCTGATTACTTTGCGGCGTTATCACCTATTTACTCCTTGTTGCTATGTGTTGCTTCTACTTTTTATTTGCTAGTGTTATATTACTATTCTTTCTATGTTTAGCTTTATATTGATACTAGTTTCTCGACATGTGCGTTGCACGTGTATGTCAAGTCGTGTAGTACACCATTTTGTAAAATAATATCAGTATTATTAAAACAAAGTTTTGAGTAAATAATTATAAATGAAGAGCAACGTACAACTTTTTTTTGAAAATGATTAATGGGGATCATCTTATAGTGACATGTTTATCGAGGTTAAGATGATTGGATATTAATAGAATCTACGAAAATACATATTCAAAGGTTAATTAGATGCATGTAATTTTTATTTATT